TTTTTTTGGTTTTTCGAGACAGGGTTTCTCTGTGTAGCCCTGGCTGTACAGGAACTCACTCTGTAGACCAGGCTGGCCTTGAACTCAGAGATTCATCTGCCGCTGCCTCCTGAGTGCTGGGAGTAAAGGCATGCGCCACCACTGCCCGGCTTGAGATGGCTTCTTACTACACAGCTCCAGCTAGCCTTAACTTGCTGTGTAGAAAAGATTGGCCTCCAACTCAGAGATCCACCAGGCCCTCGAAAGCTGGGATTAAGGGTGTATGCTAACACACCTGGTCAAAATAAGTAGTTTTGAAACACCAAATGAAAGAGCACAGTGCCTTTTTTTCTCACCTACCCAGTACTCTGTCTTCTCGTCAGGAAAGGTTATGTTGGAACACACGTCTGCAGTGATGACTCTGAAACCATTTTGCTTAATTCTTTTATTGGAAAAAAAAAAGTATCTTAAAAGTCCATCAACTTTTTAATATAAATTATGACTCTCAAACTCATTCCAATCACTTTAAGTGGTGGCAGCAGACACACTAGATAGAGAAGGTAGCTTGAGGCAGAAGAGCATCAATGACAAGACTGTGCTCGAAGAAATTAGACCCACACCGTGTCCTCTCCAGTTAACCTACACACAGTACCCAACCTTTTGCCACTGTGACCTGATGTTCACGGCCTTTCTGGGAGCATGCTGCCACGGGGCACAGGTCCTCTGTGCCTGCAAGCTCCTCTTAAGATCTTCTAGGGCAACAAGGTAAACTCCCTTCAAGGAGGCAAACTCTGAATGGACATCCACGAGCAGTCTTAGAGCCTGAAACCCCACAGGGAGCACAGAGCTTGGGACAAATGAAAGCCTCAGTCACAGGCAAGGGGCTAACTGGATGGATGGAGTCAGCAGGAGCGGATCAGTTTCCACAACCCTGACCCATTACCACAAAAAAAGCTTCCTATTTAGAGCTAATGAGACCCCAGCCCTCTCTTCTAGGAACAGGCAGGAGCTATCTGTCTTGTTCTGCCTTTCTAATCAGCCTGCAAAGAAAAGGCCAGAACAAAAAAAACCTGAGAAAACAAAGGGCCCAAAGGCTCTGCTCCTACAGCGCTTTCCCTTCTAAAGCACGCTCTTCGACCACGTGGTGACACCTGATTTTCCAAAGTCCCTGAGTCTTACACCGAGTTCAAAGACTAGAGCTGAGAGGCGCTTAGCACACAGACAGCAGTGACTGTCTCTGCGGCTGATCCCTCCTCTTGTCCCAGCATACCCCATTCCTGTCTCTGCACCGTGAAAGGCCCTCTCGCAGAGATCAAGAACAGAGACACATGTGAAATCAGGCTGTGCAGCCCCGCTGAGCCCGTCCTATGAGGGTGCTAGCTCACCCATGGCTCAAGATGAATCACCAGACTGGGGGGTGGGGGGGTCGGGTGGGGGGCCATGTGGAAATCACGTAAGGAAAACATACCTTGACTCTCAAGCTGTGGCTCTCTCAACTGTGTGGGTAATCTCATCCCTGGGAGACATTTGGCAATACCTGGAGACACTTTGGTTGCCACACAGGGGTGGTGGGGGTGGCGGAAAACTGCAGTTTGTGCAGCCCAAACTATTTTCAAGTGTTGGAGTTGAAAAGCCACGCTTCCATGAAGGATCTTAGGCCCTGGGCTCCAAAGAGTGCTTTCAACCCGTTTACCTCATCACCTCACAGGAAGTCTACCCTGAGATACAGCTAATTTTGCTACATCCTGGCTTTTTTTATCCGGAACCCTCCTCTTCCTTTCACCTGGACCAGCAGGGCGGCTGACGGAAGGTAGGCCAGGGCTCCCAGGCTTCAATGGAATGTGGTCCAATTAAGACCCATCCCTTAACTCTTACTCAGTGGGAAACCTAAGGTTTCTTTCTTTTTTTTTTTTTTCGAGACAGGGTTTCTCTGTGTAGCCCTGGCTGTCCTGGAACTCACTCTGTAGGCCAGGCTAGCCTCAAACTCTCGAACTCAGAAATCCGCCTGCCTCTGCCTCCCAAGTGCTGGGATTAAAGGCGTGCGCCACCACCGCCCGGCAAACCTAAGGTTTCTTAGAGGGACTGGGGGGGGGGGGGGGGAGGAAAGGACAGAGATAGCAGGATGGGGGTAATTAAAAGAACTCAAATTAAAATTTTAATTAAAAAAATACTTCTGGGAAGCTATTAATAATACTACAGAAGCATGGGATTAGAGGCCTAACTGGAGCAACACCCTGGTGGCAGCAGAGAGACGTGGTGGAGCTGTGATCTTAAGGTCTGAAATCCAGAGTGGACTGGGCAGTGGTCACCCAGCCCCTTCACCTCTGCATTGCTCATTCCAGAAGGAAAGAGAGGGCAGGGAAGCGGGGAGAACTATAGCAAAGTGGGGTTCAGCTGTAGCTCCCGCACCTGCCTGCCTCGATCAAAGAATAAAGGCAAGAAGTTTAAACAGGCGGCACCCGACCTTCATTCAGGAGCAGGGAACCTATTCCAGGTTCCCAGAGAACCTCCAGCTCAGATCGAGGGTGTGCAGGGCTTCAGCTGAGTTCCTCTGGCCCACCAGTAGTCACTTGGTCAGTCCTGCTGCCTTGACCCCCATCTCCAGGAGGGGCAGAGGCCAGAGGGAGTAGAGGGGGTCCAGCCCCCACTCCTTTTGAGGCACTTGTTAGAGATAGAGAAAGGCCCTTGGGCCACTGGTTGAAGGGATCTGGTGATGGCATTTCTTCTGGCCTGGACACGGATTGGGAACTCCAAGACTACAGAACCTGAATTTAAAAAAAAAAAAAAGAAAAGAAAGAAAAAAAATAATCAAGTTTTGGTCTTACACTGTAGCCTAGGCTGGTCTCATACACATAGCAATCCTCCTGCCTCTAAATAACTGTAGAAATAACTCAAATTCACTGTGTTGTCCGGCTGACTTTAAATTCAGCATCCTCCTATCAAAACCCCACTGGAAAAGAAGACAACTGCAGTTTGCCCTCAAAGAGGCTAAAACCTAGCCTGAGGGAGAAGGTGCTATACAGAGTGCATTTCTGGTGTGTGTGTGTGGTACACGGAAGGGGGCTCTCACTATGTATTCCCAACCTCAAACATGCAAAGATCCTCCTGCCTCTGCCTCCCCAGTGCTGGTTAAAGCCATGTGCCCCCATGCCTGGCCTATAGTGCATATGTATACTTTCTGTAAGGGTGCTCTTCTCAAATTCATTGTTTTTTGAGATAGGATCCCATGTAGGCCGTGCTGACCCTGCATGCACTGTGTTGGTGAACAGAAGCTGACCTCCAGCTTCCCCTTTTTCTCCCTGCAGTGTGCAGAGGTTACAGATGGGTGCCACTGTACCTCTCCTTCCCCGCTTTCTTGTAAAAACCCTAAAGGCTTTGATCTTGTGTTCATGATTTTTCATTTTAATTCTGGCGGCCCACCAATTCACCCTCATTCTTCCCTCTAAGGATTGAGGGTCTGAGGCAGGGCATCAGGCTACACTGGGCAGGCACAAGGTGTCAATTGCATTTCTCTAGTCACTTACCAGTCCCATAGGAGCTACAAGGCTCTGGAATTGCTCCAGGGTCTGTCACGGTTTCCCTTGGATCTCATCTGCTCCTGAACTGCACCTGTCTGTTGAAAAGCACACGTCACACAACCACCTAATGCTCCATGTTCCACAGCAAGCAACAATTTACCCCGTGCCCCCAAGAGGAAGCTGACAAGCTGACCTCAACTCTTTTCTCTGACAATGACATCTGTCTGAAGAGGTTAAACTTGTCTGCCATCCTCTCAAGGAAGTCTCATGAAGACCAGGTAGGAATGAGTCATTTACCACCACCACCCCACACACAAATACTTCCATTTATTTCTCTGAGTTTTGTAACTGGTATTAAAAAGTATGAGCAGCCCTCCTTCCCTTACGGACAGCAGAAATGCAGGAGACATTATTTAGAACAGAGCCTTTCATGGCCCTGGACTCACAACCGATTCACTCCAACACTATTTAACAGGTTTTCTCTTTCCTTTTTTCTGCTCTGAGACAGGGTCCCTAGGCCAGACTGGCCTCCAGCTCCCAATGCAGCAGAGGATGACCTTGAGCCTCCGATCCCCAGGTCCTGACCTCTGAGATTCCAGGTATGAGTCACCACATCAGTATGCAGTGCTGGAGAGCAAACCTAGGGTTCCTGCATGCTAGGTAAGCACTCTGCGTCCTGGCTCCGACTAGTTCTTAATAGGAAGGGAGACCATGGTTTTAGAAAAAGCTCTTTAATTTTTACAAGATCTATAGCCTTCACTCCAATGAATGTTACTGTAAAGAAAGGGGAGCCAACCCTGGAGATCAGGAATGCACAATGTCACACTCTCACTTCCCCCATTAAGTTGTTATTATGTCCCTTGCTTGAATACACTCCAGATAAACACCTCCCCCTTCTCCCTTACCATGGCAAGTCCGTCTCCAGCCCCCATCTCCCCAGAGCCGATGTGAGTCAGGTGCACAAAATTCATTGGCTCCCCAATCATGGTGCGGTCAATACGTCTTCTCTTTTTCTTCTGTTTGAGGAAAGACAGGGAGTCACGTATACAGCCATCTCTTCCCATCAGTAGAGGAAGGAGGAGGAGTCTTGAAAACAAACCCACTAATGACGTGGCAGTATAATGGGCAAACGTTGGGGTGGGAAAGACAAAGTTGGTAGATTATAAACCAGAGACAATGTCACCAGAGTGGTAAGGACATTGGCCTGCTGAGTGGTTACTTTACAAAGAAAGGACAAAGCAAAGTCACCTCTGGGTGAGAGGGACCGCTGACAGGTCTTAAGTTCTACCTACAGCCCCTGCCCATCTCAGAACAGTAGTTGACAGCTAGGTGACTTGTCTCTTCTGTCACACAGCCTCCTTTATTGCATGTGAACACACCTGCCTAGTCACAGACACTCTCAAGAGGGAGGTGAGGAAAGTGTTTTATTTTCATAAGGCAGATCAGAGATGGTGTCTCCACTTCACAGCACATGGTAACTAATTCCTGTGTCAGGGTGGGGATGGGGAGACTTACCGGCTGGGGCTTCTCCACCATGCAGCAGCCCAGTTTGTGCCAAAACTCACTCATATTCCCTGATGGTTCCAGCTTCAGGCCGATGCCGGAGGCCCCAGGAGGCTCTTGTTTGTTGCTAACCAACCGGTCCTCACACTCAGGTGTAATACCACCCTGCGTTCACTCAACCAGTGGGTTGGGAAAAGGCAGAAATCCTAGAGGCCAGTAGGTAGCCTTTCGATGAAGGTCGGAGTCTCTGACCACTAAGAACACTGGCAAGAGGCTTGGGCGGGCAGGCACAAGGTCCTGTCTTCTTTAGATGCGTAATCCTGAATTTTAGCAGAAAGAAGATAAAATGTTAGTGGGAAACAACCGTCCCTGGTTTTCCCCAGAAACCTTCTGCTAAGCCCCCATCTTCCGAGCCTCTCTTGGAGACTACTGAGCCCCAATACTGAACCCCTCCAAATATAAGAAGCTCACAGTTGCTTCTCACAGAAAGAATAGTGCAAAAAGACCATCAACTACAGGGACCAAGGAAGAAGGGGACCAAAAGGACTTCGGATGAGACTGTGAGAGAAAACCAAACAGTGACAGAAATGAACAGTTAGGGGTGCTGCCAACTTCAGCTCCCGTCTCCCTTGGCTAGGGCAGCAGGGGAGGGGCAGGAGTACCTCTGAAGAGGAAATAGTGGTTTTTGTTCTCACAAACAAGGCCTCCGCCCTGTCCCTCCCTTTTCTCTTACCTTGCCCCAACACCTGCACTTTCTTTAAGGACCACCTAGCTGGTAAGACACTAGCTGTAGCCGGTGGTGGCGCACGCCTTTAATCCCAGCACTTGGGAGGCAGAGGCAGGCGGATTTCTGAGTTCGAGAGTTTGAGGCTAGCCTGGTCTACAGAGTGAGCTCCAGGACAGCCAGGGCTACACAGAGAGACCCTGTCTCGAAAAACCAAACCAAAAAAAAAAAAAAAAAAAGACACTAGCTGTAGTAGTGTGGGCCTCAGCGAACCCTTCTGAAGGAGGAATTGCTTCCTTTTTGCTCCACTGCCTTTGTCCCCCCTCACTTGCCCCAGATGAAGTTCAACCGTCCCTCCCAGAGTTCAGTTAGAGTTAATAGCTGACCTTGTCTTTCCTGAGAGCTGGGGAGACCGTGAGCACCTCACTCCGTGTTGTGTAGGGGTAACGTGTAGAGCAGTTCTCTGCTCTGAGGAATCACTTTTCAGCCTCCCCACCCTTTTCACATGTCCTATCGTGTGTAGCTCAGTGTCTCACAGCCCAGAGCTCAGGCCTCCCTTCATCCTCCCTCATGTTCTGACCTGTGTCTCCCCCTCCACTCCCCACCACTTTGAAGCTCTACCAGAGAACCCAGACACAGGAACTTTCCAGTAGCACTTGTGTCCGAGGAAGAACTTTCTCCCCTTTTGCTGCTCCCAGGGCTTATGGCCCAGCTGAGCTTCCTTATGTGAACTGCACTTCCCTCTCCTAGAGTACAGACCAGCTCAGGGTGGCTGGTAAGGCAGCTCATGAATATTAAACATTAGCATGAATAAGAATGAGCCTTTCCCTCCAGGCTTGAGGCTGGGAGCCTGGCGCTCCTGTAGCCTAGACAGACCAAAAAAAAAAAAAAAAAACCCGAGTTCAATTTGTTTTCTGAATGTGTTTTGTCGTTGTTGTTGTTGTTGTTTTCAAGCAGCCATGAGATCACTCAAACAGTGGAATACAACTTCTAGGGTAGGAAAGAACCCAAGAGTCTGGACTCTTTCACTTCCTTTCCCAACTCTGGAAGGGAGGAGTAAGAAGGACTGAAGTCCAGAGCACAGCAGCCCTGAGAGGGGAGGCTTGGTCAGTGGGAAAGCCGGTCACAAGGCTCATCATGATGGTGGCAGGTGGTAAGGCTTGGGAAACGGAGAAAACAATAAAGAATCAGAGGAAACCCCCAACACTACCAGACAGTCCATACTGAGGCTGGACTCCACCAGCATTCTCCACCCTGCTCTGAGCGCTGTGGACAGGGGTGGCCAATGCTGAGAGCGGGAAGGAGGAGGGAGAGGGAGAGGAAAGGGGGATGTAGAGGGAACAAGGACAGTTCTGTTTCTCTTCAGGGACCTGACCAAGCTGGGTGGAGGGAGAGTGTGTGGGACTTGGCATGAAACCACCGATGATGATGAGAACTGACCAGGAAATTCCATTCCCTTAGGACACTAGGGTCTCTGAAACTTGGAGGCCCGTGTCAGAGTGTGAAGACCAGCCAGGGTCACTGTGGTAGTGTGGGGTGGGGTAGGGTGGGGGGAGGAGGAACAAAGCCAGAAAAGGAAGTACTAAGCATTGGCTGTCACTCCGCTTCAAAGCAGCCAACGAGTGGGCAGAGGACAAACGAGGCCTCCCGGGGTGAGCTGAGGAGGTAGGGATGCCGAATCCACTGCCCACTACTTCATCCCCACAGTAAAAAGGAAGACAGAGGGGATAAGGGATTAGAGCGCAGAAAGGCGCATCCTGACAGTGGGGGCCCTCTCACTTCCACAAGAAACCCAGAACTTGGAATGACAAACCCCAAACCACCGCCATAGTCCCGGTGGGCCTTACAGACTTCAGCACTATAGAGGAGCACGCAGGAGAGAGGTGGGGAAGAGGAGCTGGGGAGGAAGGATGTACATAGGTAGTTCCCCGATCCTGTGGTAGCCCCAAACCGGTTCTCCCGGTCTCGCTGCCTCTGGCCCTAAGGCCTCCAACCCGCTGTCTGACAAGCCTTCACAAGAAGCAGCTGGGGAGAAAGAGACTTGAGAATGGTGTGGGCAAATTCTGGCTATAAGCCCAGGGATGCAGCTGGTCCCTGTGTGGAGACCCTCCAAACATAGCGGGCTGCTGAGGGACTCTGAAGAGAGGATTGGGCCCCATTTTCAACCAAGTGACAGACATTTGTCCTAGCACCAACCCTGCCCTAACCCCTGGAAAGGGCTGGGGGTACTTAAAAGGTAACAGAGGGAGATCCTAATTTCTTCCCCTCCCCCAATATTTTCCATCAGACTCCAGCTCTGCTCCCCACCCACTGCTACCCAGGATGGGAACTTCGATGAATCGTACTGCCTCTGTCACTGTTCTCCGTGGCTGCCTGAATCTGGCTTAGATCTTCCGGGCCCCAGTTCCACTTCGGTTCGTCTAGCACTGCAGAAGTCTAAGGTTAGAGGGCCGGCGAGGGGCCCCTGTCGCTTCGCACCTCCCACCCGGCCACACGCTGCAGTCGCCGCTTCCTTGCCTGTCCGTGGCTTTCGCCGCCCACGCGTGTAGAGTGACCGCGCCCTCCCCGCGCCCTCCAGTCCCCGCTGCCCGCGCGCAGCCCGGCTCGCTGGGCGCTCTCACCTGCGGCTCCCCGGCGTCCCACTGCGGGCGGGGGTTCCGCCACTCCGGGTCCCCGGGCTGCTGCTCCTCACGGCGGGGAGTCGAGGGCGGGCCGGCAGAGGTGGGGCCGGCCCAGGGCGGAAACGCCGGCGACGCGATTACGAAACCTAGGGGCTGAGAGCCGAGCGCAGCGCTCCGCCCAGCTTCGGGGCGCGCGGCGTGGCCCGCGGGGACAGCGGCAAGCACCGCGCTCCGGGACACCCGCGGAACCCCAAGTGTCTGCGCTAGTCTGTCCACCTGCTGCAGGCCCTGAGAGGACGATGCGCTGGGCCCCTTTCCGAGTCTCCTAAAGTCCCCTTTAGTCCCTACAGTGGGAAAGGAAGGCCTTTCTGTTGTTTAGGGGGAAGACTTCTTAACCCCTACATCTTAGAGGACAATTAACTGTTCAGCCTCGCGCTCCAGTCAGCACGAGGGTTCCTTGCCTCTCCGCTTGGGGGTTCCTTGGAGAGGTGGGAGTGCCGTGCGAGCCGATGGAGAGGCTCTACCCTGGATGGCGTGTTCCGGAACCTATCCCTCGAATTAGCCGAGTCAGGCAGAGAGGGGGCGGGGAGTGCTTCCGCCCTTGCTAGGAGGGGCTGCATTGCAGGGGAGACCCAGCGGCAGATTCTGTCACAGCCGAGGGAGAAGGCGTAAGGAGACAAAGCCGTCACATCCCCGACAGCTTCCTTCAGCAGCCTCCTCCTCTCCAGTCCAGAGCCGACCCCCGAGCCCCTGAGGCATCCCTTCCATCTTCGGAACACCCTAGTCATTCATTGCTAACAGGTAACCTAGACGAGGGACGGCTTCTGAAGCTTGAAAGACCCCCTGTGAGATCGAGGTGGGGGACAGTTTAAGAGGAGAGAAGGGGGCGCTATGAACAATGGGTAACTATTTGTTACCAGATTTTTAATCTGTTAAAATCTCCATCCATGCCGTATCATGTACCTAGGCATTCATTTCTAACACTTTACCGTAATCATCTCTCGGCATTTAGCTTTTCATTTCATGTATTCATTTGCCTATAATTTTTGCCCTGTGTATCTAATGGTTTCTGTCTAGTGTCTAGTTATCTATATCTTTCTTTTCAAGCTATAATTCTTGCTACCAGTTATTTGGTGAATCTTTATTCCTACTGCAATTATTGTAGCCTCTACTTCCTTGTATTTCCACCTCCCTCAATTTTCTGTTTCTTGTGGGGAGGTTTGGGGGATAGGGTACTCTTTTTTTTTTTTTTTTTTTTAATATGAGATGCTATTGAGAGTGATTGGAACCTTTAACAATTTCCTCCCTGTCTCAGATTTTTACAAGAGGCTTGAGGTAGGACAGGTGGGGGCAATTGTGGAATTGCCTGATGACATGCTGCAATCAGTGTAGCTCAACAGAAACTACTTATGAGAGCAGATTTGTCTTTGCGGCTCCTCCTAGTAAGAGAGGAGGATTGTGGCTAATAGAAAACTCCTAGAGCAACATGAGAAATACCATAAAGCCTCCATTTTCATCCCCCCCTCATCCCTCCTTAGACTACATGGTGGCAGCATGACACAGCAAGGCCCTGTGGATTAGGCCTTGGGTGCTCATGGGGGCCCTGGACAAAGGGTATTTGGGTGTGTCCAGGTAGCTTAGAGAAAGTGTATCTTTTAAATGTGTGTATCTATTAATCATTTTATCTCTAAGAATAGACCATGGAATTTAGAAGTTACTTTGCATAAAATAACTGGATAGCTCAAAAACGGTTAGCAACGGGAAGTATTTACTGAGCAAATCTGTCATTTGTCACCATCCAGAGCCTTTAAAATGAGCAAAACTGGATAGAAAGATGGGTAAAGAGCATTTAGGGAAGGAAAGGGGAGCTAGCTGAAGAGCAGCCTGTCTTTTTTTTTTTTTTTTAATGCCACATATGCCTTTATGTCTGTTTTCTCGAACAAACCTGGGTCTCTCTGTACATGTCAATGGTATAGCTAGAGATTTTCATCCTTTACTATTTCACATATTTTCCTTTGAATTATTTTTGTTTCGTATTCATTTTGGTTGTGGCTCATGTTCTGTTTTGATTTGGGGGCTTTGGACTCACTATGCAGCCCAGGCCAGGCGGAGCCCACCGTCCTCCTGCTTCAGCCTGAGGGTCGGTATTACAGCTGTGCACTGCCACACTAGACCATAGCTTTTTATATCGGATGATAGTTTGTCCATCCCTGATAAATGATTCAGGCAGCTTTTATGTTACAGTTGTTAGGAGTCAATCAACAATGACTCAAACTCCAGCTTAGTCTCTGCTCACTGGATTTTCCAAGACAAGGGTCTCTAGTAGGCAGGCAGTCATCAAACTCCTGATCCTCCTGCCTCCACCTATGCTGGGGGCATAGGAATCCACCACCATACCCAGCTCTCCTGCTATTCAGATTAGAACCACAGAAAGTAGTCCACAGAATATAAGAAAATACATTTTATGAGAACTAAATTCTTTAACTGGGCATTATGGCACATACCTGTTATCCCAGGACCAAGAGGCAGAATAAAAAAACAAAAACAAACAAACAAAGAAAACAAAACCAGCACTTCTTAGGCTATACATCAAGACCTTGTTGCTGGGCGGTGGAGGTGCATGCCTTTAATCACAGCACTTGGGAGGCAGAAGCAGGCAGATTTCTGAGTTCGAGGCCAGCCTGGTCTACAGAGTGAGTTCCAGGACAGCCAGGGCTACACAGAGAAACCCTGTCTCAAAAATCAGAAAAAAAAAAAAAAAAAAAAAGAGAGAGAGAGAGAGAGAAAGAGACCTTGTTGAAGAAACAAAAATAAAACCACACCAAATTTTGTTTGTTTGTTTGTTTGTTTTTCGAGACAGGGTTTCTCTGTGTAGTCCTGGCTGTCCCCAAATGTATTTTTTAATCAGGCTCTTACTGTGTGACCCTGGTTGGCTTGAAACTCAAAGAAATCCACCTGTGCCTCCCTTTACTTCCCAAGTACTGGGATTAAAGGAGTGTTTCTGTACCAACCTCAGAATTCTTACTGGGCTGTGGTGGTACATGTCTATATTCCCAGCTCCTAGGAAGCTGAGACAGGGTTGCTGAAGGTACCCGGCTGGGCTGGGGCCGGGGAGATGGCTCAGTACTGCTCAAGTCTGAGGACCTGGGTTTGAACCCGCAACACCCACATAAAGCTGAGCATGGGAGCATGGCTGGAATCCCATGGCTTTAGCAAGATGGAAGGCCTAAAAGCTCATAACTCAGCTTGCCTAATTTACAAGGTCAAACAAGGCAGAAGGCAAGGACTGATACCCAGGTCTGTCCTCACCTCTGCATAGGCTCCGGCCATGGACACACAGCCCTCTCACAGACATAATACACACAGATTTTTTTTTTTTTAATGTATGCCAAGTACATGCTTGTGGCCCAGGAAGGCTAAGATGTCAGATCTCCTGGAACAGGCCTTGCTTGTTAGTGGGTGCTGGCCCAGGTCCCCTGGAAGAGCCTCTAGTGTTCTCAGCCTCTGAGCTGTCTCTCTAGCTCCTTAAACATTTTTAAGGGAGTATATTAGAAACAGACTTGGGATATAAAAAAACCAGCTAGGCAACCTAGCCAATTACTGAATAATCTAAGGTGTCCTTTGATTGTAAAGTTTTTAGTAGAGTGTGATGTTACACATCCTTAAATCCAAGCATTCAGAAGGTAGAGGCAAACAGATCTCTGTAAGTTCGAGGTCTACAAAAGGAGTTCTAGGATAGTCAGGGCTATATAGTGAGACCCTGTCTCAAATAACAAATTTAAAAAAAAAACTTGTATTCATTTTAAGCCAGATGTGATGATAATGCCTGTAACCTCGGCACTCAGAAGGCTGGACATGGCAACTAGAGGCTAGCCTGGGCTAAATAAGAACTTCCTACATAGCTAGATCCTAGGTCAAAAGAGCAAAATCAATTTTTCCCCCTAAAGATTCTGGTTTGTTTGTTTGTTTGTTTGTTTGTTTGTTTAATTTGCTTATTTGTTTGTTTAAGAGCCTATTGTATAATCTTTGAGGAGTAAGAAGGGTCAGAAGTTCAAGGTCAGCTTCTGCTACAAGTTCCTGGGCTACCTGAGACACTGTCTCTGGAAGACAGTCGTCTGTTATACGTCATGCGTTACAATGAGGTCACTCTGTAGGAGACTTACAAGGAAGGTTTCTTTTTTTTAAAGTCAGCTAACTAGTAGAAACCTAGTAATGCAATAAACATTCCTGATAAGCAGCGTCAGTGACTTCCATGACTTTTAGGGCTTGCTCTGTAGTATCTAAAACCTGAGCAAGTAGCTCTAGACCTGAGCAAGGATTGCTTCACTAAAAGGTGTTATAGGTGCAATCAAGCTTGTGCGCACATCTGCAAATTACTATGGAGATGGTCAGAGCTGAGTTCCAGGGACGATGACCTCACCTTTCTGCCAACTCCTTTGGCCTGCTTCAATCCCGACAGCACTCTCTTGTTAAGATGCTTCTCTGCTGAGTAATGTTCAGTTCCCAAGGGCTTATTCTGGAGCTTGAAAAAAAGACAGACAGACAGACCCAAAATTTCCTTGTTTTAAACCAGGTGTCCTGGATCACACCTGTAATCCCAGCGTTTGGGAGATGGAGGCAGGAGGATCAGGAGTTACATTTTAAAGCTAACCTGAGCTTTGAGACTTTGCTTGGAAAAAAAATATTTTTTGTTTAGTTTTTTTTGAGCCAAGGTCTTGCCCAACCTGGACCTTAATTCATATTCCTGCAACTCTTTCCTGAGCCTTCTGAGTGCTGGGATTATAAATAGAGTTGCTAGTATTTTTAACATTAAAAGGTCATGAGATGAAAAGATGGCTTAGCAATTACAAGCATTTGATGGTCTTTCCCAAGACTCAGGTTCAGTCTCCAGCACCCCTGCTGGCTCCTAAGCCTTGTAACTTCAGCTCCAGCGGAACCAGCATCCTCTTAGGCAGTAGCTTGCACACACACCACACACACAGGTACACATAAATTAAATAATTTTAAATGAAAAAAAAAAAAAGTTGAGTCAGATTTCTTTAATCTCAGCACTGGGAAGCAGAAGGCAGAGGCTGAAAGAGGCAAACTCTGTAAGTTTGAGGCCAGCCTGGTCTACAGATAGAGTTCCAGGAAAGCCAGAGCTATACAAAGAAACCCTGTCTTGGAAAAACAAACAAACAAACAAACAAACAGCTGAGGAGATGGCTTTGTGAGTAAGCCCACCTGTTGCACATACATAAGAACTTGAGGTCATATCAGTTTAGACCACTGGCTGCTTGGATCTTCTAGAGGCTCTGAGTTCAATTCCCAGCAACCACACGGTGGCTTACAACCATCTGTTATGGGATCTGACACCCTCTTCTGGTTTGCAGACATACACGCAAAGCACTCATACATAAAATATATAAACAAATAAACCTTTATCTGCTGAACTCTGGTGGCACATGCTTTAAAAAAACAACAAAACTGAGTTCACCCGGGGCAGTGGTGCTGCACACCTTTAATCTCAGCACTCAGGAGGCAGAGGCAGGCAGATCTGAGTTTGAGGCCACCTTGGTCTACAGAGTAAGTTCCAGGACAGCCAGGGCTACACAGAACAACAACAACCAGAGTTCAAATCCCCAGTACCCAGATGAAAGACTGGGTGTGGCTGCACACATCTGTTGCCCCAGCAATATGGGAGTGTACAGAGGACCGCTGGACTTGTTGGCCACCAACCTAGTTCTAGGTTCAGTGGGAGACCCTGTCTCAAGGGACTAGGGCCCATAGAGCAGGACATCAGAGGTCCTTCCCCTTCCTCTACACCACTCAGTACACTACTCAGTCTACTGAGTGTGCATACCCTTGTGTGCACATGTGTGTGTCTACCCTTGCACAAGATTAATGGAGGAAAGCAAAGTCTGAAGCCAAGTGTGGGGTGCATACCTGGAACCCAGCACTCCAGAGACTGAGGCAAGAAGATTGCTGGAAGTTTGAGGCCCAGGTGGACTACCTTTTGAATAATGGAACAGCCAGGGTTACAGAGGAAAACCCTGTCTCAAAAAAAAAAAAAAACAGCCCAAACAGCCAGGCAGTGGTAGTGTGGTGGTGCATGTTTTTAATCCCAGCACTTGGGAGGCAGAGGCAGGCGGATTTCTGAGTTTGAGGCCAGCCTGGTCTACAGAGTGAGTTCCAGAACAGCCAGGGCTATACAGAGAAACCCTGTCTCGAAACAAAACAAAAAAACAGCCCAAACGTTCTGGACCTGATAATATATTCCTGAAATCTACCATCAGAGATGCCTCAGCAAGAAGGGTTTATGTTCTAAGCAAGCCTGAGCTAGTGTTGAGTTTGAAGCAAGACTCAAAAGCAAAAACAAGAGAAAACAAGTTACCTCTCTGTATCCTCAGATAGTTTAGCCTCCATACTTCCTGTAGGTTTTCCTGGGCTTAAGCTCTTTTCCTACTTTGGTAGAGACATGTCACATCATTTAGGGACATTTTGGAACCTACTTATGGCCACTTTTTAGGAGTCACAGGCTGGTAAGAGCTGATAGTGTGCTCTAGAAAGGCTCTCTGAAACTCTGGCTTCTATTTTTGGTGGTAGTGGAATGTTCTCTTTGCTCTTCTGGGAACATTTAAACTAAAGCTTTTTGCCCTTTCCATTGCTAGTAAGTAAACCACTGAGGCTCCCGACTCTACTACTCATAGAAGAGGCAGGCAGGATATGGGTTGGATGAGAAACAAAGGGACTAAAACTGATCCTTAAACCATGGGGAAAGGGAGTTGGTTGTGATGGTGCGCGCCTTTAATCCCAGCCCTCAGGAAGCAGAGGCAGACAGTTCTTTGTGAGTTCCAAAGCCAGCCTGGTCTACATAGTGAGACTTTGTCTCAAAAGAAAAAGAGCTGAGATTTCTGTTAAGATACCATTTCTTTCTAATCTAAACTTTACCTCCTTACCTGTACTTCCAAGCTCTTTGCTCTTGGCTGTCAGATGTTTGTTTGTTTGTTTGTTTGTTTTTTGGTTTTTCGAGACAGGGTTTCTCTGTGTATTCCTGGCTGTCCTGGAACTCTGTAGACCAGGCTGTCCTTGAACTCAGAAATCCGCCTGCCTCTGCCTCCCAAGTGCTGGGATTAAAGGCGTGCGCCACCACTGTCCGGCTGGTTGTCAGATTTGCTGTAGCATTTGGATCAGAGGGAAAAGATCCCGATGTGCTAGAACAAAATGATTCTTGAGTCTGAGTTTGTTATGAGGAGAGATAGGCCAGAGAGACACAGTAATACTTGTCACACTAAGGAGAAATCTGTGAGAGTAGAAATGTGAAGACATGTTAATGTTCCTGTGGAGGGGCTAGCTCCTGCCTTACCCAAAAAGTGTGTTTGAGTTTTAAGACAGAGTCTTTCTATGCAGTTCTGGCTGTCCTGGAACTTGCTGGCCTTGGACTTAGAGATTACCTGCCTGTGCTTCCTGAGTGTTGGGATTAAAGGTTTGTGTAACCACCACCCAACCTAGCAGGTGGGTTTTTACCCATAGAGGAGTTTTTGGTCTATTAAAAGAGATAAACACATAAAACAGGTAGCCAGTCCATAGCGATCTGTAACCAAAGCTCAGTGGAGTCAGGTAAAACTGCAGGGTGCTAGAGCCAGCTCTGGATGGAGCTCAGCCCTACGAGGGTGATGTCCTGGAGGAGGTGAGTTTGTGGTTAGGTTTAAAGGCAAGAAGAAAAAAAAAAGAACCTTTATAGAAGCATCATAACTTACTGAAGTGCCTTGAAGAGGCCAGAGAGCTAGGTCTGGGGATGTGTAGGATCCTTGACCAGCACATGCAAGGTCCTGCCTTTGATTCTCAGAATAATTAATTAATAATTAAGCAGGCTTAGTGGAGCAGGCCTGTAATCCCAGTTACTCAGGAGGCTAAGGCAGGAAGATTGCAGGTTCAGGGTTGGACTAGGCAACTCAGATAAGCTCCTGTCTCGATAAAGGTACAGAGAGGGCTGAGGATATGATGTTAGAACATTCGCCTAGCACACACCAGTGTCTGTCAAACCCTCAATACCACACATAAACAAAGAGTGGAGCCAGACTTTGGAAAGCCTCAAAAATCACATCCAGAGGGGATGGTGTGATATAGTTCCTGCCTAGCATGCATAAGGCCTGAGGTAGATTACTGGGGGAAGAATTAGAGCCAAGATGAACCTGGTGCTGTAGGTAGTAGCTGGTCAGCCAGAGATGGTGAGAAGGTAAGAGCCTGGTGGTAATAGCAAGAGTTCTTGATATTTGTCTTAGAAAACTTGGCTGATTCACTAGAGCACATGGAAAAAAAAAAACAACATAAGCAAGGGAAGGCTCAGGGCAAGGAGCTTGCTCTAGCATGAAGACTAACAATGATTTGCTCTTCCTCAGGGAATCATGAGGGACCCTGTGAGTAGCCAGTACAGCTCCTTTCTTTTCTGGAGGATGCCCATTCCAGAACTGGATCTGTCGGAGCTGGAAGACCTGGGCCTGTCAGATACACCTACCTACAAGAGCAAGGATAGCAGCAGCGTTGGCAAAATGGGCGGGCAGGCATCCGGAACAGAGCAGAAGAGCCCTGAAGGTGACCCCCTCCTTGAGTACAGCACCTTCAACTTCTGGAGAGCTCCTATTGCCAGCATCCACTCTATCGACCTGGACTTGCTTTAAGGCTGAGGCCGCTCTCTCCCGCACTGTACCCTCATTGTCTTCCCTCTTAAGTCCCTTCCTCTCTAAGCCTTCCACTTTAATCTTGTTCTCTTCCCTCTATTGTGCTGGTGGTGCTGATGAATCTGCCAATTGAATTGTATGTTTGTACCTATGTATGTACTTAATTATCTATTTATTTATTTATTTATTATCTATCTATCTGCCTACTGTTTCTCTCAAAAGCCCTCTAGGCACAAAGTCAAGGATTTAATCAATGGAGTACTAGATCATAGGATTTCCTCCCCTCGGCCCCGAGAATATTAACCTAATCCCAGAAAAATGACCCTTATTCGAGGCACCAGAGAGAGGTATAGTTGTGAAAAATGGGAAACCATTTTTTTGGTTACATTTTAATCAGCTTCACAGATTACTTGAACCTCCTTAATTTCCTGAGCGCTACTTCAAGTAATAAAAACCTGGGAGTTCTGAGATACTTTCTACAAAACAGGATTTCTAAAAGACTGAGATAAGAAGTTCTGCTTCTTTTTATAGTGCATTCTCTTCCCCAGGAACATGGAGATAGTTACAGGTGGAAAACAAGGGGAGGGGAATAGGAAAAACATCGTATCAGAGATAGTTCCTTTAATATCTAGCTCACAGCTCTGTTTCCAGCTGTGGGCTGGAAAGGTTCAGAAAATCAGATTTGAGTCTTCACGGGAAACTTTACTATTAGGATAATTCGTAAAAGGCAAAAGGTGTATCCTATCTAAAGCAAAATCAGAATATTATTAGGAGAATTTATATAAAATTGTGATTTAGTCATGGAACAGGCGGAGTGTTTTGGTCCTTAGTAATTTAGCTTTCTTTGCCTTCCTGTAGTTGCAGTATGTGAAAGGAATCAGTGGTTCCTAGACACAGTTCTTCAGATACCATAAGACAGTGAAATAAGCAGTTACATTCAGACCCTACCCCGTCCCAATTCCTTCCAAAGCAATTACAGCTGAATTGTGTAGCCATTTATTCATTTATGTAATAAAGATGTTAAATCCTAAGTCTGGGGCTTAGTTTTCTTGATTTGAATGAAGTACTACAGATCTCAGAAATTACTCATGCTTCCGCATCCAGTTTTTCCTTTTTTTTTTTTTTTGGTTTTTCGAGATAGGGTCTCTCTGTGTAGCCCTGGCTGTCCTGGAACTCACTCTGTAGACCAGGCTAGCCTTGAACTCTCGAACTCAGAAATCTGCCTGCCTCTGCCTCCCAAGTGCTGGGATTAAAGGTGTGCGCCACCGCCTCCCAGCCATTTTTCCTTTTATCTTTCTAATATTTGACTTTGGATTTGGGATTTGGACATAGCTCGGTGGTAGAAGCGTTTGCCAAACATCTACAAGGCCCTGCTAGAGTTCCTCTGTAGGCAGCCAGTGCTCCCGAGTGATAAGCCCATTATTAACTTTTAAACTTGTTTGTATGGAGACCAGGCTGGCCTTGAACTCAGAGAAATCCACCTGACTCTGCTGGGGTGGGCCTAGCACTTAGGCATTGAATTAGGGGATCTCTGCCTCCTACTGTGATTAAAGGCATGCTTGTTATTGTTACTTATTTTAATTTTTAAGTTTTTATTTTATGTGCATTATGTATTTAGCCTGAATGTGTGCTTGTGGGAGGGTGTCAGATCTTGGAGTTATAGACATTTGTGAGCTGCCATGTGGGTGCTGGGAATTAAACCAGGGTCTCCTGGAGGAATAGTCAGTGCTCTTAAACCCTGAGCCATCTCTCCAGCGCCCTGTTACTGATTTTTTTAAGGGTTTTCTCCCTGGTTTCGCTCAGTCCTTTCATTGGTTAAAATGGAGAATAGAAACCAAGATAGACTGTTTGGTAAATGGGATGGCTAAAAAGACTTGTAATTTCATGTTCCAACCTCTTCTAGTCTCCCCTAAAAGTTTTCCTGACATATATTCATGACACTGGCAAAGTTTGGTCAGACAGGAGTCTGATTCTAGTGCAAAACCAGGAATGTCCCGAACAGCTTCGCTGAGGCGGAAGCAAGATTCTCCCCCAACCCTAAAGTTAGCCCCGCGTTGAAGGTTCCAGAGGGAAGGTAGCGTGCAAACGCCAACTCGCACCAGTAACCTAGTTTCCCCTGAGCGGTGCACATGTTGGCGCCAAAACTGCCATCTCGGTCCGTCCCCTGCCGGAACTATGCCTCACGTCAGCCACGTAATCAGTGATCCTACGCCTCGCTAAGTAGTCCCGTTCAGGATGCCCTCGGTATAAGCTTTTCCAGCTCAAGAGGTCCTCAGTAGCAAGAAATCGGACTCAGAGGTGCGTTGCGGTTCTGAGAGAGTGGCAAAGTGGCTTTGCTAACTCATTTCCTTCAGATTCCTCCGCCAGGACGCATAGGCACAGCGCCTTCACTTCCGGGTCCGCCATTTTATTGCCTCCATTTCTCCGTGAGGGGGGGGAAGGCCCCCCAAATATGCATATGTGAAAAGGCCAAAAAGTGAGGCCACTGGCAAGGAATCTTAACTAGAGAAAGAAACGGGACCAAACTGGCGGGCCCAGTGAGAGCGAAGCCGGCAGCGCTCCGGACTAGGTGAGGGGGAAGGACACGCAGGGCTCCGGAGCGTCCGAACTCCGATGGAAGGTGCCTGACAAGTGCCCTGCCCGGCCCGGACCTGTGGGCTCCGGCCTGGAGACTGCCGGAGCGGGGGTGGCGGCGGGGGGGGAGAGGGACCAAGAGGAAGGGGATGCTGTCGGGAGGAAGGGGAGGGGACTGGGAGGTGAAGGGGGTGGGTGGAAGACCTGGGGCTGGGGAGCTGGACTCCGGGAAGCCAAGACCACTTGGGGTGACCACTAGGGGGCGGTGTGGAGCAGGAGTCCAGGCTGCCTCTAGATTCAGACTGGGACTCCCTCTTGCAAGTTGACTCTCCTGAGTTTGGCACAGTACTGATGTGAAAAACTGAGAGATAGATGACTGAGGAGGAAGTGGGACTCTACTTTTCAAGGTCCCGTAATAACGCGAAGCTTTAGTAAGTTCATATTCCGAACAAGATCAGTCATGGTCTTATATCCAGTTCTTAACACAGATGCTTGTACATCTGTCCTCCCAATGGGAATGTGTGCAAGAAAAAAGGAAAATGAAAAGGAAGAGAAGAGAAAAAAAAACATACAAACTGAGAATTCTTTAATTGTTCTTTCTTTCCCATTAATGTGCGCCTCTTCTCACAGATTTCCTGCAGGTATTATTCTGTTTGTCTCCCTCTCCTTTAAAGGCTTTTCTCTGGTTTCCTTCTCAATATGTGGGTCTTACTATGTAGTTTAGATTGGCTGCCTCTCCTCTAATCTTAGCTCCTGGAGTGACAGGATTGCTAAAGTGAGCCATGTTTTTATACATGCTTTGAAAAGAACAAACCACCACACCCAAGTTATAAACAGAAATTATTATTCTTTGGTAGTGGGCTGCTTTGTCAAGTGCTTAGGTACTCCATTGTTATTAAAATATTTCTTGAAAGTTCTTAAAACTAAGTAAGCACTCAGTGCTTGGGAAGAGAAGATAGACAGATCCAGATGTTCAAGGCCAGCCTGTGCTACTTGACCCAGAAAGTTCTCCTGGTTTTGTTTTGTTTTGTATTTTATTTGCCTTCACAGATTCCTAGGAGGCATGGCTGGGAGTGTAGCTCAGAGGCAAGTGAATCTAGCATCCCCTTTGCCCTGGATTCAATTCCTAGCACAGAGGGACTAGGAAGAGAATTGTAAAAATCTTAGGATACAGATTAGACCAGCTCTTATGTGGATCTTATGTGGATGCATATCCAGTAAGGGAGAACAGTTCCCCTTTGTAGTATTCAGAGCATGGTCTTGTGACACTTAGGCCAACCTCCAAATCACCATCATCCTGATTCAGTTTCCCAGAGTGCTGAGGTTATAGGCAGATGTCGTCATGCCCAGCATGACTTCGTTTTCATTGTGACACACCCCCTCATGCTTGTTTCTAAAGAGTTTTTTTCTGAAGACAGCTTTGATACGTCTGGCGCTTTGATCTCATCTATCCCTCATCACATGATGATCTGTGTCCAGTTTGATCTGATCTGATCCCATGTTGGGAGAATGAAGTGTCTAGAGTTAGTACCAATAAAACTTTCAGAGCCATGTTTAAGCAAGGGGTGTAGAAGAAGTGGCTTTTAGTCAGGCCTACCTGGAGTCTGTTCTTGTCTTTGAGTTCTATTTCTTTTGTAGGTCAGAGAAGTCCTAGCATCTCAGAAATGTTGCTCTCTGTCTTTTGTTGTATTTCTACCGAATGTTACAGCCAACAATTAATAAGCTTCATAGAAGCACAATCAACAAGAACAAAAATTTACTGAAAACTAGCCTGAAAGTTAAGCATTGTTTATAGGGGTACTCCATGAGTGGTCAGTGTTCAATGCCTTTTAATTATTGGGAGGCACTGCTTGGAGTGCACAGTGGTAGGGCATGTCTAATTATCTTTGTTTAAAGAGACTAACTAGTCAGTACAATTAGGAGCACGTGAACCCAGGCCTGGGCGAAAGAAGCACTACTACCAAGTGTAGATTAGGGCCCCACCAGCTTAGGTCACAAGCAGGTATCTCCTAAACCTTGCATCTTAAAAATACAGCAGGCACATGAATACCTTTAACATTTAAAAGAGCCAACAGCGGGGGCTGGAGAGATGGCTCAGTGGTTAAGAGCACTGACTGCTCTTCCAGAGGTCCTGAGTTGAATTCCCAGCAACCACATGGTGACTCACAACCATCTGTAATGGGATCTGATGCCCTCTTCTGGTGTGTCTGAAGACAGCTACAGTGTACTCATATAAGTAAAATAAATAAATCTTTAAAAAAACAAAAAACAACAACAACAAAGAGCCAACAGCATTTAGAATCATTACACAGAAGATGACTACAGAAATCCTTTCTGTCTGTTAGTTCAGTTTTTGCCCGTTAAGCAAAATTTAGAATCTTTAACTTCTTGGGCCTACTGTATCAACAAAATCAAACATTAGGCCTTCAAAAATGTAGGAAGAGTTATAGACTCATTTCTTTCATTGTGAGGCCAATAGATTGGAGACCCAGGTTTCAAAGAACAGGATTACTAATGCTTTCTGCATGAGTGCTCTTTCTGCATGTATACCTGCATGTCAGAAGAGAGCTTCAGATCCCATTACAGATGGTCGTGAGTCATGTGGTTTCTGGGAATTGAACTCAGAACCGCTGGAAGAGCAGTCAGTACTCATAACTTCTGAGCCACCTCTCCAGCCTGAAACAGTATTGGTTTTATTTGTGTGCTTGTGGGTGTGAATGCACACATAACTGTGGTGCATGTGTGGATGCCAAAGGACAGGTTTCCTGAGTCCAGTCTCTTCTACCATAGGGGTTCAAGAGCTCGAACTCAGTTCCAGCAGGCTTGCTAGCTTTTACCCACTGAACCTTCTTTTCTGCCAGTGAACAGTGCTGGTTAAAAATACCTGAAACAAGCTGGGTTTGGTGGCCTGCGTCCTTAGTCCCAGCCCTTGGAGAGTCGAGGCAGCAGATCTCTGAATTCAAGGCCATCAAGGACTACATGTGAAACTTTGTCCTTAGAAACCAAACAAAAAAAAAGCCCAGAAATGTCAGTAGAATTTCATTGGCTCTCCTACATGTTGACAGTCCAGATATAATGCAGATTGCATACTAGAGAACACTTAATGGCCACTTTGCATGTTCTAAATTTATGTGTTTTTAATTCTTGAAATGTCTACACTGGAAGAAAAGGTTGCACTTTACATATTTTAGTCACAAATACATGGAGTGTTATATGTACTAAAATCACCTTAGAATAGTTGCTTGCAAAGTAGTCATTAAAAAGACATAACTAAGATGTCTTTTTAATAAGACATAAAAAAGATGTATTTATTTTATATATGTGAATACATTCTCGCTGTCTTCAGACACACCAGAAGAGGGCGTCAGATCCCACTACAGATGGTCGTGAGCCCCATGTGGTTGCAGGGAAGAGAACTCGGGACCTCTGGAAGTGCAGTCAGTGCTCTTAACTGCTGAGCCATCTCTCCAGTGTCTTCTCCTCGCCCGCACCCCACTCTCCGCACTTTTTTCTTTAAAAAGGAAAACTATCTGCCTGTCAGCAGAGTAAAAACCCTGAATTCAAGCCCAGCCTGAACCAATCCAAAGCACGCAATGCTGTACTGAGAAACCTTGTCTCAAAAACAACAAAACCTCAACAAAAACTCAAGAGCTCCTTTAAGTTTCTAGTTATGTCTTTTTGTTTGTTTGTTTGTCTGTTTGTTTGTTTTTTCGAGACAGGGCTTCTCTGTGTCGCCCTGGCTGTCCTGGAACTCACTCTGTAGACCAGGCTGGCCTCGAACTCAGAGATCTGCCTGCCTCTGCCTCCCAAGTGCTGGGATTAAAGGCATGCGCCACCACCGCCCGGCCATCTTTTTAAAAAAAATAAAGAATTGGTTTTTTTTTAAAAGATTTATTTAATGTATATGAGCACACTGTCACTGTCTAAAGACACACCAGAAGAGGGCATCAGATCCCATTACAGATGGTTGTGAGCCACCATATGGTTGCTGGGAATTGAACCTGGAACCTCTTAAAGAGCAGTCAGTGCTCCTAACCACTGAGCCATCCCACCAGCCCCCAAATAAAATAAATCTTTTTTTTAAAAAAAAGTGGGGGGTGCAGCATCAAAAGGTACACGCCTTTGCAGAGGCAGGCTGATCTCTGAGTACAAAGGCAGCCTGGTCTGCACATTGAGTTTCAAGACAGCCATGGCTATACAAATAAACCCCTCCCTTAAAACAAAAAACAAAAACAAACAAATTATTTTAATACCCGTTTTACTCTGTGGCTCTTGGCTGGCCTAGTCACACAGATCCACCTGTCTCTGCCTAAACATATCTGCACCATCTGTACACAATGCTTTTGGAGATCACAAAGAGTCCGTCAGAATTCCAGTTCCAAGGGATTGTGAGACGCCTAATGTGTTTGCAGGGAACTGAACCTGGGTCATCTACAAGTGTAGCAACTGCTCTTACAACCAAGCCATCTCTCCAGTCCCAGTATACATTTTACTTTTAATTATGTACGTGTGTCTGTGTTAGTATGTGCTTGTATAAATGTAAGTGCCTGCAGAGTCAAAAAGAGGGTGCCTGGTCCCATAGAACTGGAATTACAGGCTCCAGACTGGAGCTCTCTGAGAGGTCAGTGCATATGCTCAACTGCTGAGCCATCGCTTCACCACCTTAAGAAAAATTATATTAATTGATAAATTGATTTTGTGGTTGGAGTGTGCATGGCCACAGTATTCAGGTGGAGGTGCCTGCCCTCTTTTCTACCATGTGAGTCCTTGGGATAGAGCTCTCATTGTCAGACCTAGTGGCAAGTTCATTTACATGCTGAACCAAGCAGTTAGCTCACTAAAGTATAAAAATCCTGTTAATTTTATAATGTACATATATACTTAATTGGATATTAAAATACCACTTTCTGGATTGAAGAGATAGTTCAGTGGTTAAGAATATGAACTGCTTTTGGTTCCTAGCAACCAAATACAGTGGCCCAAATCCACCTGTAA